TTTTGTACATAACGTTTTTGGGGGGCAAAGAAAAACCAAGAAGGTATTGGAACCGTAGAATGAACGTTTTGCGGTGCTGCAATTGCTTGCATTTGATGCGGTACTTGGAATGTTTTGCCACGAGTTCCTGGCATGCAATGCGTGAAAGTCTCGTGGTCTGTCAATCTCTATAACAGAAGTTTGACTTGATTGATGGGGGAATGTTCCCAGGTAGCCTACTGTTCAGCAAGGAGGCTGCAGCGCTGCATTATTGAATCTGTAGTTTGTATATTATTCGCGCCTCATATCGCCGGGCCATGCATAACAATAATAGTACATCTATATAAAATGATCTTGCAGGCAGGATATAAATGTATACCGGGCTGGATGTGGCCCGCGGGCCTTGACTTTGACACGTGATTTAAATGATACTGATGTAATTTGTAGGCAGGATTCAATCAAATTGTTTTTTCTTAAGTTGGTGGGCCAGGCTATGGTCGATCAGGACCACTCACCACTGATGCAGTGTTATCAGATGGGGATGTAAGAGCAGCTATTGCTCTTTTGAGACACTCTGTTGATGAAGACATCCGTGAAAAGAAAGCTACCTTCATTTATCGGCATTCAATGGTCAGCAATGAAAGGAATCCAGCAGATGTCTTCATAGGCCTGATGCGGTTTCTGGACACACCAGGACTGGTAAGACATCTTCATTTGTTGAATCACTGAAATATTCCATGAAGCTTGCAGTGTCACTCATTGCACCTCTCTATGTTCTGTATTTTTGCATTACAGATAGAACAAGATTTCCGACTCCTGTTTTGTGAGGTCACTGCCAGCAAATTCTTCGAGAGGTGGCCCATCAATCTCAAAGAAAAGGTTGTAAAGAAAAGTCATGGACTTGTTCCCACCTCAGAGCACTTGGAGTTAATGTGCAATGCTGAGTCAGGTACTGAAGTTGAGAATGGTATGATTGTGACTGTTTTTATTTGCCATTGTTGGTTATATAGGTAATTCTGTCAATTCAATGCATTTTTGGAATAATTCTTTGTTTATTCGTCTGTAGTCTGGGACAGTGACATGTCTACTATCTTGCTGCTGCTACATCTGCTACCACCATCTGCACAAAGGCGAAAGAGACCAGGAAAGGTGTCTGCATCTCAAGCTGTCGATAACCTCATCAAATTCCCAAAGGTACGTTGTTTAAAATATACGTTCCATCACCTCTATTTTCATGGACAGTGAGGTGAGCTAATCTACTGTCAGAGGATAGTCACGTAATACTGTTGTTTGATGTGTTGTTGTAGGCTGGAACCAGTGTACAGCAGCAACATCATCAGCCCTACCTTCTTGCTCAGGGATCCACAAGAAGCACCATTCACACCTTCATTGTGATTGACAAGCTTGCACTTCCATGTAAAGTGCCAGGTTCAGTAGGAGCCCTTGATGAACTCTTTAGGGCCCATTATGTCTTTGGTACATCATACAGTTCATCCCTGACCAACTTTTTCACTTTTCTGCAAACAACTATGACATTGGGGAAACGTCATATTGCTTTCTCTAGTGAGCATCATAGATCTGTATGCTAATGTGAATTGTAAGGGTTTGTTATGGTAATTAAATGACACTGAAATGAGAAACGTAATAAATGCTGTTACTTTAACCTGTATGTTTGTTGTTATTTCCATAATATAGCATAGATCACAGTTTAGTAATATAGCATCATAAGATGAATATGAAAAAATAAAACTACAGAGAAATAAAAATAATATATTATTACACAAACTAAATTTGGAGAAAAAATAGCTCTATAAAGTGTAATTACTCTGAACAGTGTGAATAACCCTCAGTGTTAAATATAAAAATAAATAATGTTTTGTTAATTTTGACACTAAATTGAGTACAATTAACACTGAAAAGTTAACACTGGCCATTTAACTCTAATTTTGAGTGGGACCAAATGTTATCTGAAGAAGAGTTAAAATGAACTCTAAGTGTAAAATTGACACTTGGTTTTTTACTGTGTAGTGTCAAGCTACTTTTTAAGAAGTAATATTGCACTATTGATAATCACATGCAGGTGGCATAAACTAAAGGTGGCGACTGTGGCTCAGGGGGTTGGGAAGCGCCTCTGTAATCAGAAGGTCGCCGGTTCAATTCCCAGGCTCTCTGTCCTGGTCGTTGTGTCCTTGGGCAAGACACTTTAGCCTACTGGTATTGGCCAGAGGGGCCGATGGCGCGATATGGCAGCCTCGCTTCTGTCAGTCTGCCCCAGGGCAGCTGTAGCTACAACTGTAGCTGCCTCCACCAGTGTGTGAATGTGAGAGTGAATGAATAGTGGCATTGTAAAGCGCTTTGGGTGCCTTGAAAAGTGCTATATAAAATCCAATCCATTATTATTATTAAATATTCAGACATTCTACCAACAAAAGCATTAACAAAAGCAGAGTGTTTAGGCTGTTGTGTTTGTAATAACATCCATAAATGAAGGTTTGTCATTCATTTATTTTCACAGATCTACTGTAGATGATCACATCTGTCTTTGTCATTTAAATTAGGTCGACTTGCAAACTTTGCACTTTGTTTGTGTAAATTGCTGTCCACTACCCTGCATATACACAGAATGTGCACAGTATTTCAGATCTAAAAAAGCCTTACAGGTTAATTTATGAGATCATGGGGTCATAGAAGGAGTATGTAATGGACTTGCTGGCTTTAATGTAAAAAGCCTGTTGTGTAACCTTAATGAGGCAGTTGGACTAAAGCAGTATATTGCTCATCAAGGTAAACATCTGAGGAATAAGGAAATTACTTGTCCTTTTACTCAGTGTTCTTTTACATCGCAGATTTACTAAAGTTTTACATCACATAAGTCATTTTCACAATCATTCTACTTTAAAAGATTTCAAGACAGAGTTTATTGTTCTCTGAACTTCCTTGTTCACTGAACGGCAGGTAAAGTGCATCTTTTTGTTTGTTACTTTTGTGTGTTTATGTTTTCTCTAATGGTCCTCAGATGACGGTTTGCTTAAATTTGGGTCTGAAAGCATTTTTTTTTAAAAATCTGCCTATACTCACCACCCCTCTTCTTCTGTTGCTCAGGTTGAAGCAGAATTTGCCCGTCTTACATCTGTTGACCTGAAATGATTCCTTTTTTGCTGTGCTTGACCAATATGGAGAGGTTCATGGAGCTGTACAAATTCAAGAGTGGCATACTGTAGGAGGGCTGACTAGGCTCATAAAATGTTTCGATGATGATGTAAGTCTTCAACTGCGAAATGTTCTCCTTTGTTTAAGTTTTAGGTTATCCAGTTCAAATGGTGAACTCGTTGAAAGAAAGCTGATAAGTAAAGTCTGTCATCATATTTCACAACTGGACATTTAGTGTGTTAACTTTTACAGAATCTGTGTATATTGGTGGTAGGTGGATATCATATTCTACTTGAATGTCCTGATAAGCCAGATTCAAATGAAAAGATATTAAAACATTGAAAGACAGGTGTAAGTGGCCCAGTTATCTCCAATGATAATCATATATTGATGGAATTATATAGGAAAAAGCTGTGAATTTGGAGCTGCTTCATAAACACTATTTAAAGGTGTTTTTGTTTTCTTTTTGACTTCTTTGACCAGAGCCCTACACAAAGGAAGAGGGCAGAGGACCTCATTTTCTCAAGGAACATCCCTCACACACTCTCAAGACTGTGAAAGTTAGCATTTTTTCTTTTAGTAAATTTAATAATTACAGCACCACTGTGGATTTTAAATGAAACAATCAAATAGTGATTGAAGTGCAGACTTTCAGCTTTAACTCAAAGGGTTAATTCCCTGCTCCCCGTAACCACATGATAACATGTGTACCCTTTCCTCACCAAATGTATTATTACAAGATCTTTGACACTGGAGATGGTCTGGGTTTCAGACAAATTAACTGGCAAGCTAGCTTTGATATTGTTAGTTTCTTGTGTTTATTCATGTCTTCACCAGGTTCTTTGACATTTCGCTGCTGTACTGTTCACTACAGCTTTGTGTTTGACTTCTTACATTGTATATTGTAATGGCAGAGATATTATAATATTTAAGGGGCTGCAGTGGCTGCTACAGCTGTGGGGGGCAATACTTTGGTGAAATGTCCTGGACCCTGGAAAAGAGACTGTGTAGACTGGGTAAGCAATACTTTGGTGAAATGTCCTGGACCCTGGAAATAAAGTTACCTTGAAAATTACCTTGAAGAGACTGTGTAGACTGGGTGAGCAAATAAAGGTCACTGGCCCAGAGTCATATGTTGATATTCAGTGTCAGTTATGCAACCGTTCCAGCCATCTCTATATGCTCTTTATTTCATGCTGTTAATATAAGGGGAAAAAATAAACTCTTGCTGATTAAATAAGCATTGTCTGTGGAGCCACAGTCTGATCCTGTAGTGTAGCTCCAGTTTGCACATTTATTCTCAGCCACATTTGGGTTATAGTGCAGCCAATATTTAGCATAAGTAAATTTTGATTAAAATTTGTGTTTGCATTCTGCAATTGAAGACATGCTCAGTTATTTATGAACATGGTCTTTGACAAGAAATGGACTTGTAACATGGGGGTACATATCTCAATCTAAAAAAACTTTAACAACTAATAAGCGTTACCCAAAGCCAATCAACGTCATCCAAGGGATCAGTATGGCCAGTAGCGGTTTTTGATACGGGCGACACGGGCATCTGCTCCTAGGGTACAGGGAGGAGAGGGCGGGGCGGCAGTGGATTCTCTGACCGGCTGGAGCAGCATCTAATAACCAACTCGCAAAATAAAACAAAATAAAAACAAACCAACAAACACGAAAACAGCAGACATCATGATACAGACTTATAATTTGCACCGATGTTTTTTCTATGAAAAGTGAGCGAGAGCCCTCGGTGCGCCTGCTCGCTGCTGAAGTCAAAGTAAACTTTATTGTCATCTCCGCTACTTACAGTCCAGCATATAGAGAGACGAGACGACGAGGCTCCAGCTACAGCAGTGCAAGTATAACCCCTATAGACATGGTTACTAGTATTTTCTTGTTTTTACCTGGTATTATTATTTCCGACACCCCTTGAACACACTTTGATTTTCCGTAGTTCAGTGAATGCAACAAAAGCACGTTGCTGCATTAAGCTAGGCAAAACGGAGCAAGACACCCGAGAGCAATTAACAAGCTACACAGTGAGTCTTTCGGTATAAAATAAGTGTTATAAAGTATTTTCAACAGTCTCTAACTTAAAGTTATGTGAGTCATTCCTACTATTCGGTGCCATTTCAGTGTGATCACTCTTCATCAAAAAATACAAAATTTTGAATTATTTTAACATTTCATCTAAAAGAGGGATTTTCAACCTATAAGAAAAATGTATTGGTCCAGCTAAGGATATTATATTATAATATTTTTTAAAATCAAAGTCTTTACCCATGACGTGCCAAATGTCCACCCTGTTACAGGACATTCAATTTTCTATTAATAACTGTTTTGAATACACAGTTATAGTAATATTTACATTTTCTAAAAGCTACAATGTCCCTTTTTAAAATCTGCAAGGAAATTTCATGTTACAGTGCATAGCAATAACAGGGGTGACGGTAACAGGGGGGAGATTTTATGCTAAACTTAGCCATTACTACTAGTATGATGAACAACAAGCTAGTACATGGTGACCACTAAGAACCATTTTTAACATGTTTATTAGCCATATTATAAAAATTACAAAAAAAAAATTGTTTCCATTATTAATAAGCGTAACAGGTTGGACGTGTTATGCTTTGCCACATTACAAAATCTTGCTAAAACATTGAAAAAAGGGTTGATTAAAGAGTGGTACTTACTCGTCTTCTTCTTGAAAGTTTTCCCTCCAAAATATGTTACATCCGGGAGTGTCATGTGACTAAAAGAATAATCAGGTGATGTGTTCTATGGAATTCTTATCAGAGTAACAGGGGTGACAGTTGATTCAGGGACACAACATTTTTTAAAGATTTTAAGTATTAAACATGGCTTAATAATAAAAAAGAACATTTGATGAGGAACATTAGAAATAAGCCAATCCAGAAATGATGAAAAATCTAGATTTTTTATTTTTTTTTTAAGTTATATTTGTAACTGAAGTCGAGCAAGCATGACTGGGGACATAGTACTTTAGTGACTTGTGCTAAAATAAAAGTAATTTACTTTTAATGTATTTATCCTGTGTATATATCAATGTGTTCTATGGTAGAGGGGGGTTAAACATACAAGAAAATGGTTTAGAAATAAGCATTAGACAAGTTTTACACTAAATATACCATATTATGTCATGAGGACTCAAATGGCACCGAATAGTAAGAATGACCCATGTACTTTTCAGAGGCCTTTATGTGTTTTACTCTCGACCAAAACCAGGCAGAGCGTGTATTTGTTTCTTGGGAATTCCGGTGAGTTACTAGAGATGATAAGTTAGCAGGAAAACTTATGCTAATTGTACATGTGGTAAACACTGCAACAGTGCGAATTCTGTATTGTCTAAAAAAAGCTAAAACCAGTCGGAGTACTTGAATTGTGTGTGAAATGGAATGTCGTATTTTATTTTATTGTCTATTTGATTGGGCATCTTCACAAATGCGCAAAACTAATGCAGGATGCACTTTTCTTTTAACCATGAATGTTGTCCAGTGCCTTTTCTGCACTTTGTCATTTCAGTATAGGTTAATACATGTAAATAAGTTATTTAAAACTAGTTACGTTACAAACATTTCATGATGTGATTACATATGCCTTAAAAAGGGGTATATAAATACAATTGATTGTAATGCTGTAAAGCAATACAAATGGAATTCATAGAGACAGAACAATGTTAAAATAACAGTGTACTTGATTTTGAAAACTTTATGAGATCTCATTTTATTTAGAAAAACTGTTAAGAACTATTTTGTTTATTGCTCTGTACTGTATGTGCAGACTGGTTTTTTGTGATCCTGGATCTGAAGTGGTTCTGGATATGGATGGCGAGCCAGACCCTGTGAAAACTCTTGGCGAATCCAAAAGCAGTGTGGCCAGCTGTTCTGGATGCAGGAGTAGAGCTACAGTCTGAATTACTTCGAATCGCAGGATTTCAGATAAGCAAGAACAAAAACTGCTTACTTGATACGGATTGTTTCTCTGGGAAACAGTTGAACTCCCAATATCCTGCTCATCAGGAGTCAGGTCTAAAGAGACTACTTATTTTATTTTATTTTGTTGTTATTTTCAAAAGAGCGCTCTTCTCTGTTGATTTTCTGTTAATTTTCTATGCTGTTTACATTGGGTTATTGCACCACTGTAACATTGTAATAAATCTGCCGGCTGTTCAACACTCAATTCTCTCAAATTTATTTTACTCCTCTCGAATCTAGTCTATAAGTTTAATCCTACTATACTAAGCAGGTGTTACATAAAAGTGGCGAGCTAGCCAGGAGGAGTTTGGCTATTTAATGCCTTTAATCCAATCATTGGCACACAGTTGGCAGTTTTATGACAATTTTTGCTCATTTTCCACTGAAGTAACATGGATGTCATTGAACGTGAACGTATCAAGGTACCAAATGCTGTACTAATCAATGGGTTTTCTGGTACAGAGACTGATGAAGAAGTTGTTAAGTTTTTGCAACACTATGGTTCTATTGCACGGACAGTGAAAATTGCTAGTTCTGACCTTGACTTTAAAGATACAGTTATAGTTGAGTTTGAGTATGGCACAGCCATTGAATCGATTCAGGGTGAACTACCCTGTCACAGAACAACATCTGACCCAAATGTAGTTCACAGCATCCAACTCTTATCCCCAATTTACAGTGCTAAGCTAATGGCTAGTACTAAAGAGTCTTACCTTTCTAATTTAAAGGGTATTGCTAAGGTGAGTGGGGTAGATTATGAGAAAATGCTACTCAGTGAACTTAGCAAACTTCAGGCCTCTGCTGGGGAAAGGGAGGGTACAGCCCCCTCTAAGGTCATTTCAGTAGATGACCCAGTCCCTTTAATACCTGGTTCTGTTTTGAGACGACCAAGCAGTGAAACTATCCCACCCACTGTGACCACTGACACCATCAACCCTTCCCTTACTGACAGACCAGCTCCTATTTTGAACCCTGAACACTTGACCACACCTGAAGTCCAGAGGGTCATTGTGGAGCACATTGTCAAAAGTACTGACATGTCCCAATCCTATCCAAGCTCTGCAAAACTCAGGTCCTTTTCTGGAAAAACTCCATGCCCTAATACGGAGGTTGACTATGACACTTGGCGAAGTCATGTTGAGTTTTATCTTGCAGATTCTTCTGTTCCTGAAAGACAAGTAGTACGGAAGATCATTGATAGCCTCTTACCGCCAGCTGCAAACATTGTTAAACAATTGGGTCCCTTGTCCAGCCTCAAAGACTTTTTGAGCTTGTTTGATTCTGCATATGGAACTGTAGATGACGTTGATGAGCTGTTCGCAAAATTCTTGAGTACAAACCAAAATGCTGGCGAAAAACTTCAGCCTATGTGA